GATTATCTTCTTTAGTTATTTATAAGTGTTCTTTCTAAATCTCAGATATTAGTCTTTTGCCAGGTATATGTCATAATTATTTTCTCCTAGGCTGTTGCCTATCTATTAATTACTTTTTGGGGGTATTTTTTGATTTATAGAAGCACTACTTTTGACCTAATGAAATAACCACTTTTCTTTTTCCATAACTTTGCCTTTCCATGTTTTATTTAAGAAAGCCTCTCTTTGCTAAGATTCTAAACATATCTTGGATTTCCTTCTAATACAATAATTTTAGTTATTCCCAGTTCCCAAAGGAAGAACTTGAAGTTCAGAAGTTTTAAATATTTGACCAAATTATAAAGCTAGAAATGATGGAGCCTAGACCCATATTGCTGTATATCTATATGTTATCTTCAAGTCACACCATCTTCCTTTAAGAAGGCATTAAAGTCTGAGAGCGTAAAGTAGGATATACAATGTCCAGCAATGCTGAAAATTGGAATTAACGCACGTCTCTGTAAAGACATGTGATTGACATAAAAATGAATCCTCAACTTCAGAAAAACAGCATGAATCTCCTCCACCCACAGAAACTGCAAGTGACTGGAGATCTAAAAATTCCAGTTATAAGTCATGGGGGTAAGGAAAATAGTGAATTAACATCGTAATAACTAACTATGTGTGGTGATAGATGGGTACTAGACTTATTTGCAAGGTATATAAATGCAGATACATTATAATGTATACCTGAAACTAATATATGACTGTATGTCAATTATAATTAAATGCAAATTAATGAAAAAATTTTTAAAAATACTACTGATCCAACTACTAGGTGCCAACTACTAGCTGCACCTTTAGGTCCAACTCCTGTTATTCATTCATTCACCCGTCCATTCAAGTAAACATATTGAACACCTAATATATCCCAGGCAGTGGTCCTGGACTCTACACCCTAATTTTTATGTTTTGTTGGATTTCTCCATATAGATGTTCTGCACGTTCCTAAGGTTTTGCTTGCTCAAAAGCAACCTCTACATTCACAGTGTTCCTTGAATTGTGGTCATTTAGGTCACATGCCTTCTAATCACTACCAGAAGCGAGTTCCCCAGGGTGGGATGTATGTCTTATGGGCCTCTGAGTCCTCCAAAGCACACACTCTGGAAGTACAGCTGTTCTGTTACTATGCCTACTACACTGTCGTGTGAACAGTGGCTTACCTTTCTCTCTTACGGACACACTATGATCTTTTGAAGGGTGGACAACAGTAAATAATGAAGGGATAAAGGAAGGAAGAAACACCTTATATTTTCAGCAAACACAATCTTCCTATTAATAGTAACTGTCCCATTTCATTGAAGATGCTATTTATTCTTGCTACCACTTTCTGGAATGGGAGGCATCACAATCTTGATATTACCATTATATTCTGATTTGTGTTTTGTCTTTTGTTAATTTCTGTAATAAGTTGTCAACTGTTGTTGCTTCTATTGCAACCCAACCAAATCCTTACTATTCTCCCTGCCACCACCTTAATTCAGGTTCATTGCTTCTTGCAAAAACTATTATAAGTGACCTCCCACCTGAACACCCTACAACAACCCATATACACGTGCTGCTGCCACACAATCTTTCTCAAATCACAGTCTCCTCACGCCAAGGTCTTGCTGAAAACCTCCAAAGGCTCCCTTGGATCCACGGAATTAATTTTGGATCTCTCAGCTGGATATTGGGGCTCTCTATTACCTCATCTACATTCGGATTCTAATTTCCCACTGCTACCCTACCAACAAGTCCTCTTCCTCCTTTCTATTCCCCAATCAAATAGGACTATGAGCTTTTTATTAAGTCTCTTTTGTGATCCCAGTTCTGTTATTTCTGCCTGGGGCCCTCGTCCTTATTCTGTCCTTCGAGGCCCGTTGGAAATACCAGCTCTTTCATGAAGTGGGGTCTGATACCCCAACAGACAGATCTCTGCTTCCACTGACATCAGTAGCACTTTGTACTGTCCTCTTGGTTAGAATCAATCTGACCATGCTTTATTTTTAAATATGTTTTTACTGATTTTTAGAGAGAGAGGAAGGGAGAGAAAAAAAAACATCGATGAGAGAGAAACATCATTGATTGGCTGCCTCCTACACGCCCCATACTGGGGATTGAGTCCGGTCAGGACACATGCCTATGTTCATGGGTCTATGCTCAACCACTGAGCCACACTGGCCGGACTCACCCTGTTTTACTTATAATCATTTGGTGCTCATCTTGTCCACTGCAACACAAGTGCCTGAAGGTGAAGGTCAGTGCCTTCCTTACTTTTCTATTTTTCTGCAGTCTAGCACAGTCTCTCGTACACCGAGGCAATCAAAATATTAGCTGAACTGAACTGTTCTCTCAACTTTCCTGAATATCTCAATACAAGTAAGGGCCTTACACATAACAGTGCTCAAAACATACTTGTTTAAATAATTTCATAGTTCCAGAGGAAGATTTTTCGGTGTGTATGTAACACTGACATTAACCTAAAGTGTTCATTTAGAAATCTCTCACTAAATAGCTGAAAGAAAAAGGAAAGAAACAACAACTCTAACATCCTCTATTCTTTCGTTTTATTTTATATGATAATGTCTAACTCTCACTAGGGACTTATCGTGTACCAGGCATCATAGCCTGGCAACGCACATCTCATGTCATCCTCCAAACAGCACCGTCAGGAGGCACTTTTCCCTAATGGATGGGAGGGAGGCTTAGAATAGTGAGTTGATCCCCCAGTGGGCAAGCAAGTGGCAGCACTGAGATTTGAACCCGGGTGATTTCTGCCTCCACTGTCACCCTTCCTTGGTATGTTTGCTGAGCCACTTCATTTTCGCAGTTCTGAATAAAAAAAATGTTTAAAATTACTTTGACCTACATCTTAAATAAAACCATTCTTTGAAACATAAAAAACTGCTTGACTCAGATCATTTTAATGGAGGTAAAATTAAAGAATTTGCTAAATCTATTCCATCCATCTTCCAATGTATTAGAAAACTATTAGTTTTCTCAAGCTTCATGCCTGGTCAGTATCTGACTGTGCACGCTACAGGACAGACCAGGTGACCAAGGTGACATATTCTTGGAGAGCTGAAAATCATTAACTTTGGAAAGCAGTCTAGAAGCCTCATAATCAGAGACCCATTGACTGTCCATTCTCTGTGGAAGTCTTTACATACTTGAAAAGCGCTGCTGGAGGCCTGGACTCTGAGTGGAGGGCAGAGTGAAGGGGTGTGGGGTGGTCACAGATGATCCACAAGTAAATGAGACCCAAAATGTCTCTCCCATTGAATCTACAATCTGCAGGCGGGGGATGGGGAGGAGGAAGCACTGGTGTAGACATACTGGCCACCATGCTGAAAAAGGATACATCAGCACTAACAGACAAGGAAAAATGTTGAATTGGCCTATGATAAAAGCACTTGGAGGGAAAACTCACACACTATAAGACAAAGGTCATTTCTTCCCTGAAGTTTCAGAAATACAAGCATGGGAAGTAGGAATGGGCACTAGTTAGATCTGAGGAACAGCCACTGCTGGGCTGGTCCCCAGTGACTGTAGCTTCCAATGGAAGTATTACTGTTAAAGATGAAATTCATAAACCAAGCTGAAATTATATCAAGCACGGAGAAACTCTGATTTTTCAGTAAAGCAGAAAAATGACTATGGATTCTTCAACTACTTATATCTTCTATTTATCTATTCAGGGTAAAAAAAAAAAAATCCTGCAAAAAGTCTGATAATATTAACTTCCACTATTTAATCATAGTTACCTTTTTCTGGATTCCAGTGTTAATGTTAGAATATACCATAGGTATTATGACTCTCTTGTGACTTAAGCAAAACCTTAAAATCCAAATCCCATTTTAAGAAAAGTAACTTTATCATTGAAAATACTACAGACGTCCCCTTTCCCCACCTTTGATACCCTCCACCTGCTCCTGCCCTCATTTTTGAAGCAAAATTTTGTTACAAATATTTTTGTTCCTTTAAAGTTATCTAAAATGCTCAGTTGTTGTAACTTCAGTATTCTGATTTGTAGATCAGATGTTCAGAACAGAATAGAGAAAAAAAGGATTAGCCCATTCCGTTCATTCATGTATGATGGAAAATGACAGCCTTCGACACTCATGAGCACTGGGTTCAGATTCTGCCACCTCCCTGTTCTAGCGCAGAAGTCATAAAAACAAAGCAGATTGCAGAAAAAGGAGTTTAAGTCAAGTGAAGCATATTTTATGACATTACGAGCTTCTTAAAAGTACATTCAGTCGAACATGGGGGGAAAAAAGCAAATAGGAAATCCCACAATAAAATATAAAAGCAATATTGCTCCAGCAAACCTGAATAAATGCAGATTCTTAACCACTTGTAACCTCTTTCAAGAAATCGGCCAATATGACAATTAACTAAATGTTTTTATAGAGACGGAATATAAAGTTGAAGCATGGCTATTGATTCATAGTAAAGAAAAAGGTTCCGACCTTTTCCGTTTCAGGTCATTACAATTCTTACATTAACTCAATCCCCGTAACACCTTTAACACTACGAAGGTGAAATGCTATTTCCATAGAGACCTACCTTCAAAGGACACTATTTTCCCTTGAAAGGCAACTGCCCCAACATACTACATGTCCAGCACACCCTGACCTGTATAAGATCTAAAGGAGCTGGAGGAAAAGAAAACAATGGCCCTCCCCCATAAATCTCAACCCTACTGCATGCTTTTCCCTTTAAATCTAACCATTTAAAAACTAATAATTTTGCTATTGTTTCCCCTGGAGCTTTCTCTATCAAGATGAAAGAAGGGCTTATTCAGGAACAAACAGGATACAGGAGTCATGGTTGGCTTCCAGGCAAGCTATAAATAGTGACAGCATTTTCAAGAAATCTTATGCCCAAGGAGGGAGTTGCCATTTAAACACGCAGTACAGATTTGATTACAATGGTGTCACCAAAATGCATTGTTATACAAGAAATTCAATTCTTACCAAGTTTTCTTGGTTCCTGGCTGCTATTTTCTGCTCCTCTTCTGCCCCATTTTTCATGTATTTGACCTCTTCCACCGGTTTGATCCTATACTCGTCTGAGTACCAAAAAAAGAAAAGACATTTTATAACTTTTTTCCCCCCACAAAGGCAGGAAAGTGTCAGTGAGAAAAGCCCAATAGCGTAATTCGTTAAAAACCCCTTTCCCGCGTTCTTTCTATGGGGTTCATTTGAAATCATCTGGATTGAGCTTCACCAGCCTCTTTCTAAGACCCAATCTCCTCTGACTCCTGGGGACAACTCGGCACCAGGAGGACAGTTAATGACAGTGGCACTGCTTGGCCCTTTTACAGAAAGCAGAGGGGACCGAGGAAGCAGGTGATGCCATCTGTAAAACGATTTGGGGTCTGCACACTCGAGGACATATCACGTCATAGTCTAAGGAAGATGTTTCTCCTTATGAACTAATATTTTCGTTATGAGCATATGGGTTCACAATAGCAGTGGCAGCAATTTTCAGCAATTCAGGTACACCGAATTTCTCTCTTTTGAAAAAACAAAGAACCATGTAAGACTAAAGAGTTTAATTGATCAACCAACAGTTATAGACAATGGGAAATAAATTGTTTCTATTTGTAATATCCATATTCAATGTGGAGCATTCTGCAATTATTTCACATGCTCTACACACACACACACACACACACACACACACACACACACACTCTTTAATTTAACCCTCTATAAAGTCACATGTACAAAGAGCTGTAATTCTAGTGGATATAACAGATGGGTATATCATACAAGACTGGAGAGCATAGTGGGTCACAGTGAGACCTAGGCTTCCCAACAGCCAAGGAGAGAGTACAGTAAATCCCAATATTAATAAGCACCACGAGACAAACTCAGGAAAAGTGGCAGCTAGAGCTCTCTTCCAGGGTAGAGGTTTGGTGATGACGATGATGACATTTTCATCAGAGTCCTATCAACAGGATATGACTTGAGCAAACTAGGTCCAAAATATGTGTGACTTTGAGTCATCTGTAGTCCAATTTGTCAGGGGGGAAAATCACAGAAATGATTGCATTAGAAAATTTCATCCATTAACAAACTGATGATTGCCCAGCATATGGTGTGAAATAATGTCTAGAATAGGTTACTTGAAAGATGTCAATCACTGAAGAAGCTTGTATATAAGTTCAGGAAGTTGCAAAATATTTTCTTATTGCCTATGACTAATTTGATACAATGACATATTTTACATAATTTCTTGCCTTTTTATACCACTTTCTTTATACTTTGAGGCTTCCTTATACTATCCCTTAGTAGATTACTCCCAAAGACATTTGTGATAGCAATATTCCACCAGGTAATTATGCTGTTCAAATGTCTCTTAAAATTATCACCCTTATGAAAGTATTACATGTGCATATATCTGAATAAAGATTGCGTGTTCATGGCTAAGCCAATCGTTTTTTGTTTTTTTTCCACCTGAGAATTCAAGATAGCTATTGCTTTAGCTTCTTTCTAAAGAAATCAGAAAAACTGGTGAGAGGTTACAGTAAGGAGCCCTTTAGGAATACCAAGTCCTAAATGTGCTAACAGGTTAACCAATGAATTCTGATGCCCAATCACAACACACAAGCATTTCACTTTCCAATCTGATATTCAGAAGAGAGAAAAGGTGAATTAATAAAATCAGTACATTTAATTAAGGATTATTTGCTCAGAATTTGGGAAAGCAGATTTTTTTTTTTTAATAAAGAAGGGACACTGACAAATTATGCATCCAGTACAATTAGAGAGAGAAAAATAAAGGAAAAAATAATAGGTAAGATGGGCCTCCTTAACTTCAGTTGGGACATCAATATTTATAAACCATGGCTCGCTGGAATAATTACTGACATTTAACTGATTTAAACTGTGATCTTAATGACTTACAGTGATCCTCTAATTACTTAAATATAAATTACACACACACATACACACACACACACACACACACACACACACACACACACACACACAGAGTATATTTTAACACAATTCCAGTGGATTGTATGACTTTCATTTATAGGACTCAAACACTCATATGATAGATTCGGGGAAGCACAGCATTTAAGACCTAAACAACCTTCTGGAAGAACCTTCCGAAAGATGGCCCTTTAGCCAGCTGCAGAGCAAAAGATATCTTCTAGAGAGAAGCTGCCCTCGCCTCGCCCTGTCCTCTCCCATCCGCCAACCCACTGCCCACTGCTCTCAGCACCCTCCCAACACTCAGTCTTCAGTGTCTCCATCCCTCCAGGGAACACAATGGAATTGAAAGGAGCAGACACACTACTCAGACTTTTCTAATATTTTTTCTTCAATGAACTGGAAAAGCTGCTGGCTATGTGACTTTCAAAGCAGCCTTATCCCGAACATAGATTTTCTTTTAACACCAAGGCACAGTCATCACGAATGTAGAAAGAGGGGAGGACTGAGCGTGCCATTAGCAACCATGGCTGGCGAGCCAACGCTGTGCTAGAGGAATGCACTGGGATTGGCTACGAAGAAAGGAAAAGCAAACAGCCACGACCACAGAGTCTGACCCATCATGACCACTTATGACGACTTACACACACTGCACAGAAGTCATCCTGGTAGAAAACAAAAGAGCCAGCAAGACCCTTACATAAGCCACCGCTTGTACAATGGAAACACGTAAAAATGGGCTGTCAGATTTCTCAACGGCATGGAGATGTCCATCTGGAAACAGACAACTCATCACAAGTGTGTCACCCATTCCCATGGTGACACAGCCCTCAGGACTGGTACTTGCCCGCCGGCCTCTGTGCAGGCGAATGAGCCCTTCAGGTTGTGACAGTGAAGCCACCAACACAGAAATCCGGTTTTCCTTTTGTTTAAGGTGCAGGGGCACCCATGTGGGACTGCAGGCCCCTTAACCAGATCCCACATTGGAGGCAGTGGGGCCGGCCACTGTCCCCAGCCCCAAGGTCCCCAGCCCAAGGACACTGAGCCAACTTGATTAAGAGGAAGGGAAGCAGGACAGTCCTCCTGCAGCCCCCGCACACCTGTTCACGATTTTTCTTTGCTTCCTGTTGATCTTGTCAGGTGGCTTATTCAAATGCACATCAGAAATAGTAGACAAAACCTCCCCCCCCCCCCCAATCCTCTCTATGTGTGCAGCTGCAAGCTGTGCCAGCCAAACCGGTCAGGGGAAAAAGCAATGCTTTGGTGACACTTCTGGCATTTCATCCCTCAGATGACAGCAGAGGGGCTGTTTTTGTGGCAGCTCCACCATGCCAAAAGCACTGTTTCCCACCAAATCTCGGTACCTCGCTTTTGACATAAAGTATATTCTATGTTTGTTTGTTTTTAGAGTGAGAAGGGGATTGATTGGCTGGATTGCCTTTTGATGAGTATGGAATCATCCTCATGCTTTGGATCCCCTAAATTCTTCTATTATGGACAGCTTCCTAGGCCTATCCCAGACCACCCAGGCTTCTCAGATAGATCTGTGGCCAAGTTACTTTAAAAAAATATATATATAAATATATATATATATATAAATATATATATATATATTTATTTATATATATATATTATTGAGTTTTACAGAGAGGAAGGGAGAGGGATAGAGAGTCAGAAACGTCAATGAGAGAGAAACACCGACCAGCTGCCTCCTGCACACCTCCTACTGGGGATGTGCCCGCAATCAAGGTATATGCCCCTGACCAGAACCAAACTTGGGGACCCTTCAGTCCGCAGGCCAAAGCTCTATCCACTGAGCCAAACCAGTTAGGGCCAAAGTTACTATTGTAATCAATAGAACTGACTTGTAAAGGAGTCAATCAGCTGGAGATAAGTACTGGGTGAATTTATAATACTGGAAGTATAAAAACAGTTAATAATTTCCCTAAGTGTACATATTAGATGAGGAAGAAGGAAAAAAGCAGAAGACCCCTATATATGCTGCTCTCTGAGGTAAGAAGACATCTTATAGTTGTTTTTTTAAAAAAATATATTATACGTTGTTTCACTTCATTGTGCATTCATTGTTGCTTCTTGGGTGTGCCCTGACTAGGGATGGAGCCCTCAACATTGGTGTACTGGGACGATGCTCTACCAACTGAGCCACCTGGCCTGGGCTACAGTGGTTTACTAAACTGGTGAAAGGTATACCTACTTTCATACCTTCTCACCCAGTGGTACATCTATAATAATAAACCCCACCTTTTCCAGGACTGGTCCAATTTCAAAAGTTCCATGTTCATAACCTCATCTCTAAATAACCCAGCATCTGGGCATCTTAATGAAATGTGCTGGATGGCCTCTTTGCCCCGAATCTGCATGAAGATTCTTCAGTGGACTATTATTCTACGCTCAGGAAAACACAAGGGCTTGGGAAAGAAGGTACGAGAAGTATTTACAAAAACAAACGAGCCAATTAAAAGAAACTCTTCTGCTTTACAGCATAAACGTATTCCCCTGGGGTTTTTCTATGGAACATTCTGTCTTCCAAGTGAGCTAAATCTGAGTCCCCAGATCCTGATACAACTTCAAATTCTTGCCTACTTTGTCTTTACTTCAGTACTTGGAAGGATTTTTTCCCCAACAGATGAGCATTCCCAGTGGCATGGAGCTCCGCCTCTGGAGCTAGAATACCCAGCATTCTGGCCTTCCTTTCTGTGCCTTGGTTTCTTCATCGGTAATATTTATGGTGCCTGATCTCACACTGAGTCACATGAATTACAACATGAAAACAGTGCCCCATCCATAGTAAATGCTCACCAAATGTTAGTCGTTGCTGGTTTTGCAGGGAACACTATTTTTAAAACATAAAATAAAATATAAACGTCAATAATTACTTGAACCAAAAATTGTGGCTTTACTGTGTTAACAAAAGAGAGAGGAAGTGAGGAGAAGTTTTATTGTCCATAGAAGCTTTTAGTATTTTTTTGGACTCCGTGCCCATATTACTTTATTGAAAATAGGAAATAACTTTGAAAGAGTAATAAGTAATATTTATTTTTGGGAAAAGAAAAGTGATCCTTATTTAAGCGAGACCCGGGGAACAATAAAATAATGCTCCTCT